CTTATTACAACTTACCAAGAGATTAAAACAAAACTATGCCATTAGTCTTTCAAGAAATTCCTGGTGATCTATTTTCAGTTGCATCCAATGTATCACTTGCACATTGTGTTTCACAAGATATGAGTATGTCTAAAGGTATAGCAACATTATTTCGTAATAAATTCGGTCAAATCAATGAACTTAAAAACCAAAATGTATCCGTCGGTGGTTGTGCATATATAATTTCAAATGATCGACATATATTTTATTTAGTAACAAAAGAAAAATATTTTTATAAACCAACAATGAAAACATTAGAATCAAGTTTACGTACAATGAGAGATTTATGTATTAAAAATAATATTCATCATTTAGCAATGCCTCGTATTGGTTGTGGATTAGATAAACTTAATTGGGATCAAGTATCGAGACTTATTCAACATATATTCGAAGAAGATGATATTGAAATTACGATTTATACTATTTAATTATGAAAATATTTTTTTATGCAAGAAAACAGATTTTTTATTTCTATTTAAAATAAAAAAAAAAATCCCCTGATCAATTTCATGTTGCGATGACGAGATTGTGCGGACTGATGGTAACATTAGCCTGCCAGAGCAACACTTTTTTTTTATAAATACGACAATGAATAAAACAACATATTGCAATATAATAGATTCTTTTTTCATTTGTGGAAAAATGAATGTCTACATTCATGTTTTATATAATCTTTCTGTAACCTAAATTTTAGTCATTACAGATCATCAACATGTATAGACACAGGAAAAATAAGAAACTTGAATTTCTCTATTTAGTTATTGCTTCTCGGCCTTTTCGGCTAAGATCAAAGTGTAGTATCTGTTCTCGTCGGTTTATAAGCCGGTGCTGATCTCACTGAGGTCAGGTTCTTAGTGCCGTTCAGTTTGATCCACTCCCGTTTCCTTTGGGACACAGAAATCACATAAGAAATTCAAAATGAAAATATATTAGTCATTATTCATGCTGTTGATCAATCTATGCAAGTTTCTTATTATTATCAAATTTTTTATGATAGAATTCTACTTATTGATCGAAAAATGATCTAATACTTTTCAAATTGAATAACTAAAATTAAAAATAGTATCTAAGTCATTTATACGTCAACATTTCTGTTCAATTCTCATTACTTTTTTTCAAGTATTTCTCTGGTAGGCTAGTGTTGTTACCAACTCGCTTAATTTTGTCGTCGTAACATTTTCTTTCGCTTTACACATACAGTACCCATTTGGTCGTCGGAAAAGCAAAAATAAGAGAAAGCAAACAGACATCCTATCTCAATAATATCCAACAAAATAAGTACATAATTATCATTAATTAAATTAACATTAAAATAAGTTATATTTTAGAAGAATAGATTTCATCTATTAGAGAATTTTTTCTATTTTGGAAACTAACAGATTTATGTAATGATATATCTGACAATAGTGCTTTACTCGATACTGTGGTATTTAAATGTCATCTTATCTTTAGGTAGTTATAATTAGAAGTCATTATTTGTTTGCTCTTTTGTCATTCAAAATTATATACATGATCAAAATATTTCTCGATTAATACTATAAAAACTATTCACATGGATATATATTCAACAATCGAATCAGTAGTCAAAGAATAATTTAAATATTAATTTATAAATCAGTAAAAAACAATAATCTAAAGTTATTGTCAAAAATGAATGTCTTTCATCCATATGCATATCACGTGAATTAGTGACATTATTTCGTCGAAGTTATTTTTTATAAGTGAAGTAAAATAAAATATCATAATCATATATAAATAGTTAAAATTAATATTTTATTTATACTAGTTGAATTCTAATGAGAAAAATCATTGACAGAATTTGATGAAATTGATTAACCTACACATGTTGTAGGTTAGTGTTGATATTTGCTAGTTCATTGTTTTATCTTATATAGATCTTTATTACTAGAATTAAGAACTGTAGGAAGTTATATAATTGTTCAATGATTTAGATTCACTATAGTTATATATATATTATACACCGCTTATATTCATCACCATCTGATATACTTTTAATAATTTAAATGTGTAATAACAAACAACAATTTTCTCAAGTGAACTTATTAGAGTATTTCATGTTATAATGAATATTGAATTATTACTTCATATTTTTGAATATATAAATCAATTCACGTTCTCTTTTATTTATCCTGTATCATTCTATAATGAGCGTATAATATTAGTATGATTATACATAGATACGTATCTGAGTTAATCTATATCTAACTATAAGAAAACCATTTGAAATCACACAACAATAAATTTTCAATTTCTATTGTATTATTTTAATCTTCTTCAAGTTTACTTTCTACTATAAAACTTTCAATCAAAACTGAATTGACTTCAAATATCTCATGAATGTTAAACAGTAAAAAATTGATTTTTCGTAATATTTTTATTAAATAGTGTTGCTCTGGCAGATCAGTGTTACCACTAGTCCGCTCAATTTCGTCA